GAGGAGGATTGTATTATATACTCACCATTAGAAAAAAGGCACCTAAACTGAATCATAACTTTTAGTGGACTTTTGCTCACTTTGGTTAGGAGGATTTTCTAAATTTTCTCCTTTCATTTAAAAAAATAGATTTCACACCCCTATTAACTTGTTTGCTTCTCAATTTTTCTATAATCTTATGACTTGATTTTTTCTTTCCTCTTCATTCTTCCAGTGCTGTGGACTGCATTGTCCCTTCCCAAAATCAAATACTAAAACTCTTCACCCTCAATATGATGATGTCTAGGGTGAGACTTTTGGGAGGTAATTTTATTTAGATGAGGTCACGAGGGTTGGGTTTTCGGGTGTTATTAGTGCTCTTATAAGAAGAGACTTGAGCATTATCTTTCTTCCTTTCCATGCACATCCCCCTAGGAAAGCCCACGTACAGGTACAATGGGTCAAAGGCCATCTGCATCAGGAAATGGGCCCTCACCAGAGCCCAGCCATTTGAGCTAGCACCCTGACTTCAGATTTCCAGCTCCAGAAATGTGAGAAAATAAATTTCTACTGACTACAAACCAGCCAGTTCTATGGTATTTTGTCAGAGCAGCCAGAGCTGACTGAGAGCATTTATTGGAAAGTTAGTCCCTTTTAATTTATTTGGTAATAAATTTAGGTACATAATCAACATTGTATCTGCCTATGCAAATTCCAAGAGATAATAAGAAACTCTGATTAAAAATAATGGTCCTCTTTTTTTGGTGTTATCTCTTAGCACTACAGAAAGAAAAAAAGATAACAATGACATCTAATTTTCTATATTCATCTCTAATTCTCTTCAAGGGAAATAAAGAGTACAGCATTGCATGCTATATATTTTTTAACAACATGGACTATTCCACTCTTAAGAGTTAGGAATGATTGGAGTTAAATTGAATTTTAAATAAAAATCAGGCAGGTTGACACACACCTGTAATCTCAGCATTCTGAGAAGTTGATGCAGGATCATTTCAAGTTCAAACATAGCCTGAGCAATTTAGAGACTTGGTAAGATGACCCTGTCTCAAAATAAAAAAAATAAAAAATGAACTGGTGATGTAAGTCAGTAGGAAGGTCCTGGATTTATTTTCCAGTACCACAAACAAAACAAAACGAAAGAACAAAACACAATCTTCTGTTTGCTTATATAATGTGTTACTTGAATGCATGAATTTATAAATAAATAATAATACTAAAAAAAGAAATATGAATAATATAGCCCTGAATTCAAATTCTAATTATGATTATTTACCACCCATATGGCTTCAGAGTAACATTCTCCAAAAATTTTCTTATTTTAAAAATTAAGTTAAAATGTTTCCTCCCAGGATTGCTGTGAATTAAATAACTTATTGCACTGAACCCTGTTTTCTGGCTAGATACAGATGTTCAAAAAGAAATAAAAGGAAAATAGAAGTGTCTGTTACGTTCTCATGAAAAGTCTTGAGTTCTACCACTCTTATTTAGGCTTACATTTTTTTTTTTTATTTTGGTACCGGGGATTGAACTTGGGATCTTGTGCTTGCGAAGTAGGCCCAGTGCCAATGAGCTAAATCTTGGACCTAGGCTTACTTTTAATGCTGATGATTTGAAATAGCCCAAGTGCATGCCTGGACACACACACACACACACACACACACACACAATTTTCTGTCACTTTTTTATTGTTATGAAAATAAATTGTTAGTAAGAGGGATGAAAATTTTAAAAATAATTCAGAACCATGGGCTTATGCTTCTGACTTGCATAAAGGGTGTGGATGAACACATGTACATGAGGAATCTTATGAAATTTAAAGAAGGAAACAATGTTTTCTACTGCTTCTATTTTTAACAGCATGCTGCTAGAGGTGATATTAGTTGAACAAAATAATATTATTTCAGCTACTTGGAAAGCCACTTGACAATAAGGAGTCCCTTGAGGCAAGATTCTTCCCAGCAGCATTGCTCAGTACAATATTTGTTCAAAACTGAGGAGTGATTTGTAAGATGTGTCTCTACAGGAAAAAAGTGATATTGATACCATGCAGCTAATGTACAACCCCCCAAAATAAAACAAAACAAAACAAAACAAAAACCACGAAACCTCAAATATTTTGAACGTATCACTACTTCCCATTTTTCCTTTGAGTGAAAATTTCATTCACATAGCATGTGAAGTAATCCCCAGTGCCATTTAGCTGATATGTAATAGAGAAAAAAATAGAAGAATTCATCTTCATAGAAAGATCTCAGCTAGCATGTGTTACTATTTCTTCAGCATTTTGAGTTCTCTTGGTTCAAAGAGGGTACTTTATTAAAGAGCAGTGCCAAGTCCTGTGTTACACAGGGTAGGAACTATATCCAACCATATTTTCTGCACACCAGTTCAATGAACTGGTTGATGCTTTTCTTAGCTTACTGGAGAGAAGTCAAGGGTCAGATAATTTAAGTGATTTTTTTCCATGCTACAAACTCTTATCACCCACGGAACTTGGTCTAAAGTCTCATCAATGTGTTGTTCTCTTTCAGGTTGCAAAGGTCAGAGGAAGGGAACTATAGCTATTGTGAGTATAAGTGAAGAGCACAAGGAAATGTTTGGTCTTGAGGGCTCTAGCAGAACATGTCCAAATTCATGGCAGGAGGCAATGCTGCGGCATGGGCAAGAGGAGGGACTCTGGAGATGGACTACTTGTGACCCAGGGTAGGCTCTTCTATGCACTCATTCTTTGTTGTTTTCAGTTGTTGTTCTTGTTTTATATTTTAGTTTTATTTATTTAATTTTCTTTTCTGAGACAGTCTCACTATGTAGTTCAGGCTGGCCTTAAACTCAGTGTATACCCCAGGCTAGCCTAGAATTCAGTTATCCTCCTGCCTCAGCCTCCTTAGCTGTGGGATTACGGGAATGTACCACTTTGCCTAGATTGTCGCTGTTTTAGCAGCATTGGAGATTGAACCCAAGATCTCCCCGCTGTGCTACCCAGTTTTTCTTTTTCTTCTTTTTTTTTTTTGAGATAGGGCCTAATTCTGTGAGTTGTGCCTGCTGAGCTCGAACTTGCGATCCTCCTGCCTCAGCTTTTCAGAGCGCTGGGATTACAGGTGTGTGCCACCACATCCAGTTTCCCTGCGTTCCTGTGTGTACTGCCATATCACTGTATGTATACTTGGAATGATGAAGTAAGACTGCAAGCTTCATAGCTTCTCTGAAATAGATTAGCTAAATTAATAAGTGTTTGCGAAAGGATCTGGCATTCTATTGTAAAATTTTCTCAGTTGTTACTACCAATATCATTATTATTAACTAATATGATTAACATAGTGTGACTGTTAATTGTGATTTTCAATTTGACTGGATTAGGAAAGGCCTAGCTGATTAGTAAAGCACACTTAGCGCTGTGTCGGTGGGCGTTCCAGAGATGATTGGCATGAAAACCAGCAAACTGAGGGCCGAAGACCCTCCTCCATGTGGGTGGCAGCAACCAATAGGCTTGCAGTACACATGGAGCGAAAGGGGAGAAAGAGGAAGTTGGTGAGTACTTTAAGAAATGCCATTCGGCTTCATAGGGACATGTTTTTCTCCTTCGGTTGCCTGTGGCTGTTAGACTCCAGCTTCTTAAGCCCTTCCACGCGGGCTCATCCTAGGGACTGTTCAGTTCAGCGTCGGGCTGGTACTGTCCCCAGCTCTGCTTCCCGGGGGGCTGAGAGAACTCAGCTGATGCCTCACCAAGCGCTTCCGCCATGTTTCTGCCTTGGAGCCTTCTGAAACTGAGCCAAATTAAGCTTCTCTTCCTTTAAGATGTAGGTGTTGGGTAATTTATCCCAGCGATGGGAAAGCCATGTAGTACATGTAATTTTGTTATTTGACTTTCTCTGTCACGACTGTCTTACGGTTCTGGCATATTTATGGGTTCTACTGTTAGGCTTTTGCTTACTTCGTTCAACCATTATGTCTCCCAGGTTCTGTGGACCATCTGTATCTTTCTGTATGATTCTCATTTCATTTCCTCAAAAAGAAGATGTGATGGGATTGATTGATACTGTTCTGTGTTGTCAGTTTCTTTAGAGCAAATTATCTTAACTTCTGTAAAACATTAAGACATTCAGGTCCTAATGGCAGGATATTCAGCTTTCACATGGATTGTTCTACTTTGTGAACTTAACAGGGCCAAGTCTAGATAACTGGAGCCAGCAGGAGATTCATTTCTTTCTTTCTTTCTTTTTTTTTTTTTTTGGTACCAGGGATCAAACTCAGGACCTTGTGCTTTGAGGCAGGGCATAGTGCCACTGAGCTAAATCCCCAGCCCAGGAGATTCCTTTCTTAATGGGCAGCATGCTTGAGGCAGGCAGGGGTGCCATACACCTGTAATCCCAACACTCCAGGAGGCCAAGGCAGGATGATCACAACTCCCAGCCCAGCCTGGCCAGTTTAGCAACTTAGTAGGACCCTGTCTCAAAAAAAAAAAAAAACAACCCAAAAAACCAAAACCCAAAACAAAACAACAACAACAAATCAAAACAAAACAAAACAAAAACCTAAAAAGATTTGAGGATGTAGCTCAGAAAGAAGGCCCTGAGTTCAATTGTGAGTAACAATAAGAAAAAGCAACTTGAGCTTTGATGCTTTTCCAATATATTCTACCTCCAGGTTTGATAATGTAATGTACTTTGCAGTTAATATTCTTCCCTAATGGACATCAGAGAGGAGTCAAGTAGTTTTGTCATATTTCAAACACAAGATCAAATCATTTCGAACAATGTAAGAATGAAAACATGTTAAGGCAAAGAGATACTACATTTCCAAAGCAAGTAGTGAGAGTGCAGATTAGTGATTGGATTTATTGCCTGTGGAATTTTATCTGTAGCAGAGACTGCAGTGATAGAGATTTTGAATATTAAATTCATGGATAAATTCAGCTTGTTTATAGCCCTCTAATTGACTATGAGAATAAAACAAGGCATTTCTCAGGTTTCTCAGTTAACATCCCAACTTCATAGACTCAATCCGGCAGATAAGATAAATGGCCAGGGTGAACCCACCCACTTTCTCACAGATGCTGTGCGCAAGCAGATCTCTTGCCTCACACTTCATTATTTGCAGCTTCCAGAGTCACTTTTAAGGTTTCATGGTAAGTAACTGCATTTTCCTAACTACTCTTCATGTACCTTCACTTTCTAGTGGATTTGATACTCATTTTTTCTTTATTTTTTTCTTTGTCTACATGTAAAGGAATTGACTGACAAACTGTATAAATGGTAAACAAAATGATTGTGACCATTAACAGTAACCAGAGGTAAATCCGTATGATTCAGTTAGAATTTTCAACATAATAGTAAATTTTACTTTAAGTGGCTTAAACACAAAGTGATATATTTTTCTGACTTAGCAAGGAGCCTGCTGGTAGATGATTGCTGACAGTAGTTGAGTGAGTTATTGATGTATGGGCTGGCAGTTCTGATATTTGTGGTCTTTTCTCATATTTGTGTTTCATAGTCATAATATGACTGTGAGAGTTCATGTTTAAAGCTAAAAGGACTTAGGGGATATAGTGATATTAGATACTGGTCTCCCTGTTGTAAAAAACGAAGATGGTTTTCCAGAAACTCCACCTGATTTAGAAATCAGGACTATGTCCCGTGGGTTCCTTCTTATTAAGAAAGATAAGTGGAGAGGTTAAAATCTGCACTGGGGCCCAGTAGGTCACTTTCCTGAACCAAATAGGTTTCTCTTTTCAATGAAGGAGATAATAATTGTTGGTGAATACGATTGGCAGTGTCTAATATATTTGATGGTAGGATTCCATGTAAGATGAACTTAGGTTTAGCATCAGCTTGGTGAATAATAAATGGCCAAATCTGCATTAACAACTGAAAATGTGCTAGAAATTATGAAGAGCCCATTTTTGATGCCTAAATCATATGGTGAAATCTATATTAAAAATATAGGCTTGCATTTATCTGCACAAGGGATAGATTTGCATAGAATGTGTATGTTTCTATGTGTGCTAGTGTTCATTGATGGGTAGAAGTTGTCTGGATTCATCTATTAATGAATGCTCTGAGTCTCTAGTTAAGGCTCAAGAGAAAGGATGCTATGATTTGTTATCAGTGGTAGTCACTGGTGAAAATATGATGAAGAATAGATATGTATACCATGTCTGTATAATTAAGGGATTTTTAACTCTGATGTAATCATAACTCCACTGACAGTACATTGACTGAACACATATGACAATTTGGGCATCCACATATCACTTCAGAGAGAATACAATACTTTGCAACACAACATAGTACAATAGAATTGTCTTAGTCTAGATTAATCCTCTGAGTTTGAAAATGCTGAGTATTTTCTCCTGAGATAAAATTTCAAGGAAAATTACTGTGTGTCTTATTGTGGCAAGGGGCAGCTTGTAACAGTAGCAGATATTATATGCAATGTGTAGCCCTATAAATGTTTTGGGAGCCTTGTAAATAGCTTGGCATTTCAACAGAGGAGAGAGAAGAAATTGCTGTAGGAAACTGAGTAATTAGAACTCTCAAATGCTTTTGTTCAGAATTCTACCTTGGTGGAAAGATGCTAACCAAGTGATTCTGTCTTTGTCCTGCTGATGTTGCAGCTCCGAAGCCATAGTCTCTGATGTTGTTTTCAATGGATCTGATCACTTCATATTTGTCGCTGGGTCTCTCAACATGACTGCAATAAGGGCTTTCTTCTAAGAAATCACAACCTTTTGTAGAGACATTGCAAAAGCATATACAAATCCTGGATCATTTATTTGTGCTGATGCTGTTTTCTTCAGTTTAAAGAAATTAATTTAGTACTTGAGGTATACCAAACCCTCTGCTACACACTATATAAAGCTCACAGCTTCTTAATCTGAATCCAGAACACTGAACACACTACACACACACACACACACACCCGGCTTAAACTGACCAGGATTGCAGAACATCCTTTCCCCATGGCCAAAACCTCACAGTAGGCTGTCATACCTGAGGCTGAGTAACCGTGCCCCTTTATTGACTATATCTTTCCCTGCCTTATTTGTTTTGATATTAATTCTGTGTGCCCTTTTGATAACTTACTGAATTCTTCCCTCACAACTTCAAGCCCCCACGGTGGTCCTGTTGTCCACAGACTTTTTACCCTCCTCTCGCCACTCCTCTCTCCGTGCTAGATGTGGCCACCATGAACATCGTCGCGGCTCCTAAAGAACTGGCCCTCTGGGAGTTCCATGTCCACCAAGAATGACAGCGTCGGCAAAGGCGTGGCCGACTAGGGCATCGCAGAGGCTCCCGCCCTGTGCCCACTTCCCAGCCAGCCCCCACGCCCCCAAAAACTTCATCCCAGATCAGCAGGAAGCAGATACGGAAGAAGAAAACGCCGCCCCAATTCCATAACAAAATGAAGGCTGGGATGTTAGGTATTTCAGATCCCCCACAGAGTTTTCCCCCTGCCCCACTCCGGCCACAGGGAACAGGGAACTTCCGCATAACTAAGGCATGACCTCCCTTTGTTAGTGACTCCCTGCCTAGTTAAGGTCTTTCTGCCCCGCCGGTTTCGTGGTCAGATGTTCCAGTAAGATAGAGGCTTCCCGAAAGCAGTGACTCCATCCCCCTGACCGAAACCTGTTGCTACATACCCCAGCCCCAATCACCCAGCCCCACCAATGGCCTAGTGCTCTCCCACCTGCAAGATCCCTATATAAGCTTCCAGCTCAACCCATGCAGTTGCTGGTCTCCACTCTGTGAGTCAGCCCGGCAGGCTGCAGACTGTCGCCCCAATAAAGCTTGCTTGAACGTCCGTGTGTGCCCCCCTTCTTCGGCGACCCTTTCAGTCCTTATAAAGTATGTACCTGAAGAATTCTACTTAAACATCAGTGAATAATTTTAAAGGTAACCATTATCGAAGTTATTTGTTTACTAACAATAAGAACATAATATACCACATATAGCCAATTTCTGGTTAAAAAACAAACTTTATAATGACGTGTAGAGAAATGACATTGACTTAGAGTTCTTAAAATAAGAGACTTATAAGCTTAACCAAATCTGTACAGTTAGGGGTAATTTATATTCTATAAAACTTGTGAAGTTGTGAATTGTTGAAGTTGTTTTGCCATAAATATCTTTGAATATCTTCAGTAAGACTAATGTAAATGCATTAATTTGTTTATTTTGGGTTTATATACTAACTACTGATCTGAAGAACTTAAGAGACTTTAGAATGTTTACAGTACATCTCTGATATGACCTGGAAAGGGAGGTATGGTGGCCACAAGGGTGCTTTTGCTAGGGTGAGGCTCATCCAAATGTAGGATACAGTTTACCCAAATGCAGGTACCCCCACCCCTTGTAAAATTAAAGCTTAAAGATATGTTTTGGAGGGTTCTGAAGCATTGTGAGTACAGTGATTAGGCTTGTGTTTACACTTGTAAAGGCTTTTCTATTACGAGGGTCACAAATTCAAGCCCATCGGGGCAGGATAGCATGACCCTGCCTAAAAATAAAAAGAATAAAAAATGGCTGGAGGTATACCTTGGTGTAAAGGAGCTGGATTCAATAGCCAGTACTGAAAACACCAACAGATTTTCCAAAAAAAAATGCATCTGAGACTCTTAATTGCTTCCACATTACATATTTCAATTTTTTTTGTTGATGAGTTACTTTAAAAATATTTTACTTACAAACTCAATATAGATACAGTCACACACGCACCAAAAACAAATGATTTTAAAAAATAATAGGTACTAATATGCAATGCATTCTATTTTTTCTTGTTTCTCTTGTTTCATTTCTTTTTTTCTTTTTATCATGTTTTAAGAATGCTGGTTCATACCTTTAAACTGATTTTATGACTCAGCAATTCAAGAGATGGTTAACTTCTTTTTAAAAAATAGACGCCTAGATAGTAAAATTCCGTAGACTTTGTCATAGAATAACAGAGGGAGTGTATGTGTATTCAGTGTGTCCTATCTGCTTAAGTTTGCTGCAACTTTTCAACTCTACCATTGTGGCTGGAAGTAGGCATAAAGAATATGTAAAAAATCGAGCATATTTGTGTTACAGCAAAGCCTTATTTGCAAACCAGTTGGTTGCCTAGAGACATATCATAGTGACTAGGTTATAAGATCCCTTTTGAAAAATTTTGCTTAAATGACTATCAACCTTTTTGGCCTCAGGACCTCTTTATACTCTTAAAATTATTGGGCCCACTAATAGGTTTTAAAAATATGTGCTGTAGGGCCGGGGATTTAGCTCAGTGGTTCCACCGCCTGCCTCGCAAACTAAGGACCCAAGTTTGATCCCTGGTACAAAAAAAAAAAAAAATTTGTGCTGCATCCATCTGTATTTATTATGAGAAATTAAAACTGATAAATTAAAAATGTGTTTACAGAATTATTCAAAAAGTTATATTTTAAGTGCATGTTAATGTCAATGAGATATTTAATAAATATAATTGTTACACAAAAACATAATTACTGATAAGAGCAATATGTTTATACATTTCACAATTAATATCTTTAATATTCAGCTTAATAAAATAGAAAAAGAATATCATTTCTATTTTGCACTCAGTCTGGTAGACATTATTTTGATTAAAGTGTGTAAACAGAATCCAGCCTACATGGATAAGTATTGAAAAAACAAGAAGCATTTTAATAGACTTGTTAGATAACTTTGGGTATTCTTTGATACTATATCAAAACTTGATAAGTGATAGTTTCTTAAACGTTAACTGTAAGTTAGAATCTGAAAAATTTTAAATTTGTTTCCTTAAAATCTGTTAGTCTAAAAAAAAAAAGTCTGTTAGTCTATCTTTCACTTTGAATGAGTCTTTTACTATTGCATGGTTTTGTAACAGCATGTATTAGTCGTCTGGGAAATATTGGTTCTTTGAATTAAACACATCTTATGTGTGATGTCACTTTTCATTTGAAAATAAGTTTGAAGATCATGTGTGTTAATATTATCACTGATCTTTCCACAAAAAGTGTTTAAATAATGAGAAGCTCTTAAACTCTTAGTACTGGAAGCACATTTTCTAAATTCTGATGATTACGTCAATGTTGAACTTTTTCCATTAGTATTTCATACTTTCTATTATTTACCTTGAAGTCACAAGAATATCTTATTCCTTTTGGAGAGAACATCTGCCAAACTTCCAAATCTGATTAACCATAATTTGTGTATAGTAAAAAATTTTAACCTCGTTCCAAAAGAGGTCTGACCTATGTTTTCAGTATCTTTGACTTAATCTCTAAATCCTTGGAATGTTAGACTCACAGGAGTTTGTTAACCTTAGAGCCTGATGCTAGATCAGCAAGTGTATAATCGCGTTTCACTTTGAAGACAAAAGAGTAAGTTAATGTATGAATTGTTTCTTCTAAGATAAAACCTCGGTATTCAGATTTAATTGGAAAGTTGGCACTTTTCGATAAATAAGTGGGTTTTGCGTTGCAGTTTGGCACTCAGGCTGTACAAGGTCTGCCATCGCTGTGCCGGAAAATAACATGATTTAGGAGGAGGGCTTTTGCCTCACCGCTAATGTAATTCAGAGCCCTTTGGGTCATGCCATATCATCTTGACCTTTAGAGAAGCTGCAGCTTGATGTTAGCCAGCCATGTCTTCGTGATCAATCCCCAATAAAATCACTGAACACTTAGACTAAGGTGAGTTTCCTGGTTGAAAATATCTCAGGTATATTGTCACATATCAGTGCCTAAAGGTAACGCCATTTCTGACAAAAGGGGAAGCTCTCAAAAACTGTAACTGAGCCCGCCGCCAGCTTTCATCAAATTCTTTGAGTAATTGCAGACAATATTTACATGTCAGGATGAGTCAGGAGACTTCTGAAATTGAAATTTATGAAAAAGGCTGGGGGGAGGTGTTGCAGGGAGCACAGTTTATCGAATTTCAAATTTTGTTCATCATTTTTTCAAGTAAAAACAGTGATCCACAACAAAGGCAGCTAGTTCAGCTCAAGGCTATTGCACAAGAGTTTTCCTTGGGGAAACATCATACTTCTCGATGCAGCAGAAGTGTTTCATATGTCCCACAATGTACTAAATCAGGACTATGTCAAGTGCTATTCTTAAATGACTTTGGCTTGTTAAACTGTAAATGCATAGCAATAAAGAATGTAATAACCACTAACATAGTTTGATGTCACTGCCTTGTGGTAAGGCCCCAGCAGTATTACTGTTATTTTTACAATATCAATGCAAGTGCTAATATAATGAAAAGAGAACTTGAAGTCTTAAATGCATTATGAATATAATTCTGAACTCATTTTAATATGAACTGTTTTCACAATAATGGTTCTCCAAATAACATCTCATACACATATTTTAAGAATTTTCTTCTAAGTAGCCAGAATTCCACTTAGTTATGAGAAAATCTTAATTGTAAGTTCTTTGATTAACCTCATGTCTCTTAATTTCACTATGGGCCTGTATCTTTCAATTCAGTACCTTTAATTTTATGGAATATCTCACCTGTCTAATGACTTTGTACTTATGGTTACAAGGTATTCTCTTAACTCCCACAACACTGCATAGTGATCCATTCATAATTAATCTCATATTGCATACACTCATTCATGCTCTAACATACGTCATTACTTACATTCTTCTCACTCTTCCTATCTCCTCTTTATTCTTTAACTGATTTTTTAAAATACCTCCTTCACAAAAAGGTATTCTTTAAATACCTCCTTCTGTGATTAATCTGTTCTCTTTTTCTTTCGCTCATTGCTATATTCTGCATTACCTACCATAATACTTGGTAGGTAGAATATATAAAATCAGATGAGTTAAAATGATCAAATGCAAGGACCATGATATATTAAAATGTAAATTGGAAACCATGTTACAGGATTTAAAGTCCAACATGCATCTGATTAAAACTGTATGTTTTCATTTCTACATAGATTAAAAGATTGATAGACACGTGTACGTATGTATTGTCTGGCACAGAGTAGGTATTTAGTATAGACTTGTTGAATATGTGAAGAACTGTTTAAAGTGTACGTTAAAGTATATTTAGTTTTATACTTCAGTTGAAACTTCAGTTATGCCTATAGAACATTCCCTGGTAGTTGGTTCTTGATGTTCTGACATGTAGAAGTTCATTGTTCACGTTCATAATATATTTTCTCCTTTAAGATAATTAAGCCATAATGGTTCTACCATTTTTTCATAGACTGTAGACTTCCTTCATCTAAGAACTAACTTCTAGTTATTTATTAGGGGTTTCATCTTCGATCACCCTGTCTTGGAGTGAGTGTGATAGGGAGGATGTATGGGGAAACAGGAAGTGGAATGGTTGGGATTTATTATAGTTTCTGTCTAGATGTCCCCTCAAAGCCTCATGTGGTCATAGGTGGCTTTTTCAAAGGTGCCTCAATCTAGAGTGTGTGATGCTGGGGTTAAGGGCTTGTGATTACTAAACCAATACACTGATTGGTTTGGCACTGCCCGAATCCCTATGGTCTGGATAAAAGGGGCAGAAAGACACTGTTAAGGTTCCCTTATTACTTTTGCTTCCATGTGGGCACCATGAATTGTTTCTCCTCTGTGACATCCCTCTGCCATGTTCCACTCTGCTGTGGAGCCAGCCAATTATGGACTGAAACCTCTACAAACTGTGAGTTAAATAAACTCTTTCCCTTTTAACTTTGGGTGTTGCATATTTTGTCTCAGCAACAAGAGAAAAGTAACTAACACAGAATTAGTGGGTCAGAAGTGTGGAGGAATTGGTCACACATCAGATGAGATAAAATCTGAGAAAATAGAAGGCAAAATCAAGAGAAAATTACTCTTGTCCATAAAGCTGTATGTGAAGCTGCAGATACTTGTATAGATTAATCTAAGTTCCTAAATTTATAGATGGCAACATGGTGGCTCAAGAGAAAGCAAGTCTATTCATAAATAGCTAAAATCAGTAGTCTTGACCCCACATCTGAAGAAAGGCTGACATTGACCTCCTGTTATTCCTCGTGAGAACCACGTCAGAGAAAAAGTTACAGATGAGACAAGGGAAAAAAGACCATTGGTACTCAAAGTCAGGTTACCTCTAACACTCTGTCTTATGAAAATAAAATGGAGATTTTTTTGGTTGCAAATTAGCAGGCAGGAGGCAAAGGTAAGAGGAATAGTGAAGAATCCTGGGTGAAGCTATAAACATTTCTTACCACTCCAATATTTATTTTGTAAATAAGTTAGCTAATGCCCCAAAGTTGTGCAGCAAACCTAAAACCTGGATATTTTTTCCCCAGAAGAGTGCTGTCTTCACTCCTGAAAGATCTCATTACTGATCCACATATGTTAAAAGACTGAGACATTCCTCTGCCCAAGAAGAGTATTTTATTTCCAAGTGTGTAAATTTCTCAGTCTCTCTGTCTCTGTCTCTGTGTCCCTCTCAGAAAGAAGGGGTTAGAGCCCTAAATTTTACATAAGAATATTGTAAGTTTAAATACAATTGCATTAGTGTCTCAGTTTGGTCCTTTAAAAAGTACAGCAAAATATTTAAATTATACAACGCCTTGCTCTGTGCATTCTTATCTTGGTTGTGTATGTTATGGTATTTTGCTGTAGACAAATAATACAAATAAAAATAATTGGGCCTGTTTGCAATATTTTATTTTTCTTTCTCATGCTGCTGCTTTTCCTCAGCTTCTTTTTACTTCATTTCAATTTTATATTTCTATTTCCTACTAGTGTTACCCAATTGTGATACTTCCCACCTTTAGCACACTTTTTCAATACCATCTGGGTACCCTGAACTTCATTCATTTCCATGCAAACAAATAACAGAAATCTAACACAGCTTTCAAAACCTACTTTTTAACTGCACCATGAACTTGAGATAAATCCTAATGTTCATTTACCTCCTCTGAGAAGTAAAAATGAAATAAACTTCAGGTCTAAGAAAACTGACACTGGATATGAACACTCCATAATTTAACAAAGAAGTCTATCTCTTTAATTTCTCTGTTCCTTGAAGAATAAACTCTCAGTCTTTTATGCAGCTTATCCTTGGATGGTTAGCGCTTGTTAACAATTTGTGAGAAACAAATTTTTCACCCATAAATAATAACCTTATTAAGATTAATGTGTAGATTAATGTGCCCTATCTACTTAAAGGATTACAGACTATTAATAGTGTTATCACTTGTCCTTTAGGCAGAAGAACAAGGAATCTGTCTCTCTCAAACATATATGTGAGTATATACATATTATAATGTGTATATGTGAGTATATACATGGTATAATGTATGTGTATATATGTATATAAACATAGGTATGTTTATATAGTATCTTTTCCCCTACGCATACCCCGCAAACGCTTGATGCACCAACAGGAGAGTGTAGGTGAGGAACCTATGGACATGTGTTATATTATGATTTTCTTTGAAAACAAAAGATGTTAATGTATGAGTTTTTTTCCTAAACTAAAACTTCAGTATTCAGGTTTATTGTACTGTTGGCACTTTGGGATAAGCAAGTGGGTTTTGGGTTACAGTTTGGGCAGTTGATCTCAGAAAGTTTCACCATCACTGACTTCAAACACTGTATTTGTAAGTTAGGATGAGGTGTATCACCCTATCCAATCTCAGGTTTGGTTGAGAAGCAGGAGAGGGTGAGTTGGCAGAAATTGTCCAGAACAGTAGGTCAGATCTAAATCTATTAATGACAATAAAGTGGCAGTGTTTTTACTGAGTTGTTAAGTTGCCAAGGATCAGCTCAAACTTGTGATCTTTCTGCCTCAGTCTCCTAGAGTATTGAGATTACTGTGTGTATAACACCCAGTGTGATTTCCTTTTTAATGTATTGTCTAAAGAGCTCAGAGATTTATGTAGGGTTGCTGAGAGCAACACACTCTGCCTGAACAAATGCATTAGTGATGGAATGTTTGTGACAAATTATTAAGGAAATGTGGCTATCACAACAGAAAAGAATCCAATTATTTGGCATCTCTCTTCTTTCCTGAGTGGATTCTTCTCCCATCTCCCAATACTGAGGAGCTATTTCACATGGTCTTCATTGGCTTAAGATTATTTTCTTCACTATTGGCCCATGGATGGATCATGTCAGTAAGTAGCTTCCAGACTAGTCATCTCTGGTCAGTTCAACTCTGGTGAGTTATTAATTGTCATCATGTCTGCTTATATTACCCTGGGACCTCTCCAAAGCCATCTACAGATTGGGATTGCTAGAAAAGGAAAGCTCCTTCAGCAAGCAGACAATTATGTAATATATTGAAATGGAACTTTGGGGCAGAGAAATTTCTGTAACAGTTGAAGTGATTCGAAAGGGAACAATAAACTGAGCTGTGTTAGTCTGGGTGGTGTGCTGTTCTGGATGAAGTAATCCCCGTTCTCCCATCATGCCTGCCCCATTAGCTGTGGCCATGAAAGTATAGGGAGTCCTCAGTAGTGTTATGGTTTTCTACTTAATGCAGCTGGTCTTTATGAATTGTACTTTACTTACTATAAATGAAAAGGAAAAAGATACATCCTAAATGTAAACAAGGTTTACAATGGTTGCCTCTGGGTGTTGATATTACAAGTATTTTTACAGTTGTATTTTATCTGCTTTCTAAAATTTCCAAAAAGAAAAATCATTAACAATCTAAAGTAAATAAAATTTAAAAATAAAACTACGGAAGACAATTTCAAACAAACTTCGTAAACTTTTTGGTGTTTGAGTAAAGTTGTTATTACTACCTCATTTCACACTTCAAAAATTAGTATACCCACAGAGAACACTACTGTGTTTAACTGGATTTCAGTTATTAACAGAAGCAATACCTCAAAGTATTGTACAGATTTTCAGTTCCATTATGTTCTTGTACATATCTCTTAGCTAAATGCCTGTTACATTACTGTTTATTTCTTTCATTCAAGAGGGATGACTTGACTCTGGTTCCCAATGCTGTCTGAGAGAATACTATATGGAGACTTCAAGTGCATTAAGAACAGACTGCCCAAGAGCAGTCAAAGGATTTCAGAAGGGCCATGCATTTGGGTCCTATTCATGTGCCTGTACTTCTCTTTGTAAACTCCTCACCCTACCTTGCTTATCAATTCTGTGATTTTTAGAAAGTTCTTAATCTTCTTCCACTTCAAATTTATCAAAAATGATGAAAAGTATTTGCAACACATATAGCAAAAAACCGACATATTTGTATACACATATACCTACATATAAAATATTTCTGAAAAGAAATATCCCTCACTACCAAAAGAGATCTAAAACATTATGAATAGGAAATGTACAGAAAAGAAAAAAACAAAGGTCAATAAAATGAAAAATGTTAATTTCCTCAGTGTAGATCTCTCACCAAAGAATTACTTTGCTTTGCACATATGTTGGGTAAATCACAGATTTGTTGTAACAATTAGTTCATTTCTAAGACAGACCCAGACCAATAGCTAATGTATAAAAGTAGTTTTGTAAATGATTTTTGCTTTTCAGACCCCTTTGAGAAAAGGAGATACATGTTACAAATAGTTTTTGTGGGCCCAGGAATTGAGATCTGACTCCTAAGAAAGAGATGGACTTTGGCAAGGGGAAGGGGGAAGAGGAATATACCATATCCTGGTTTCAGGGCAAGACTCTTGGGGGTTAATCACATTCTAAAACCAAGCCATAAAATCATTTATGCAATGATTAATCAAAGTGTAAGTTCACCTGCTAGCATTGCTTTGTAAAACAGTCATCTTTTTTCTACTTTTCTTTTTTATCTCTCTTGTTCCCCCCTCCTTCCCCCTTATTACCATCAGTATATTCTCATCATAATTACTATTAATCGAAAACCTTATTCTTGACTTGTACTGTATTAGACACTTCACATCTATCAGCTGGTCTTCACAGCAATCTTGCAAGAAATATACTAATATTCTAATTTGTGGTAGATAATGAAATTACAGTCCACAATGGTTAATCAGCCTTCTTGAGTTCACTCAGTTGTAAAAAAATATGGGAAAGCTATGATTAAAACCTTAATTTTTCTGATACCAAAGCAAATTATTTTAGGTTGGAAGGAAAAATGTGAGTTATACTAAATTGCTCTAATGCAGCTGTGGACACATTGGGGAACCCACAGGTAAGAGCAAATGTTTTATTACATTTTAGGCATATTTCAGGCATAAGGTGAGTCAAGGGTGGCCCCAGGACAAGGGTACAGATGATGTGATCTCTTCTGGCACTAGGAATCTCAGCCCTTCACAAGCTACAGACTTCCTCAACTTCTAGGGCAAGGTGGGATTTTATTATGTTCTCACTTAGAACTTTCTGGTTTTTTGTATTCTTTCCTGAGCATATGTAAACTGATTCTTCAAACCTGCAAGTGAGCTCAGTAAATACTGACAGAGTAGCAGCAGAAAGCAAAGAAAAAAGGAAATGTTAATCCCTTATATATGAAAAATAAATTTAAAAAATCTTTTAAGACATTCTTAAATGTTTCCATATTAGCAGCTCTCAGAATGTAGAGTAATGTTAACCTATGCATGCAAAATTCACAGCGTATTTCCTGTGGTTTCTTCCTGCTGTTCCACAGCAGGTGGAAAGGGGAGAAAGCATCTCACTTATGAGTTTTCAGTGGGAATTATTTTTAACTCAAAAGTAAGTATGTTATTGATAAAGGTCTTAAGTTTTCTTTCAGCTTCACAGATGCCCTTCATGAACCCTCTGTTGTGGCCATGGACTATTTTTACCCTTCCACAAACATACCACTTTTGTATGCCATGATTTTGCATATGTTGGGTTGCTAACAAGGATACCCTTGAAATAAGTTCTGGCCACTCCAAAATTAAGATGTAGAAAAAAGGCCATTTTCTCTGTGAGGCCATTTCAGATGCCTTCGGGGCATTGGAAATCCCTGCTTCCCTCTGTTTCTACGTCTGCTACAGTATGTTCATTTTTACACCTGACAGATATCATATTTCAGTAAGGCTGTACTCATTAATTTGAGTTCCCTGAGCCATAGAATTGTATCTATTACATTATCTATCTTATGAGGTTGAATATATATATTCAATAAAAAGTTGAATGATTGAATTTCAACTCCTCCACAGTACCCTTTTTACTTTCTGTTCAGAAAACTATTTAATGAAATTTACATTGTGTAGTAAGCTCCTGTATAGAAAGTTGGAAAAATACGAAGTATTGACCAGAAATAAGTGATTTCAGTGTGTTTTCTCTCTCAGAGAAAGTAGACTATTGATATTCATAAAGTGTAATAATTTCACATTTCACTTTTATTCTCAACTGTGAATTCCAATTCCACATCTGTTCTTACTACCTGTAAGAGGCTGGCTGATACCTGATAGCTAATATCTCCATCTAAAAATCTGAAAGTCCATTATAGATCATAGAAGTTTGATGAAGGTTAGTTGGTGCTTGATACATAGCCAGAACTGGATACTTTTTACTAACAGTTTTGCTAGAATATTCAACCTTCCATTTTACCAATAAATATTAGAATTGGACATGAGCTGGGAATCTACTGATTAGTGTACCTAATGAATACTTCCATCTTGTTCTGCTAATCAAGTAGAATTGTAGTGTAGCCTGAAGAATTCTGGATTGGGAGTCAGAAGGTAGTTGCCTTATCTGATATAGATAACCTATGAGGAAGGCTCTTGCAAAGAGCTTTGCACACCTGACCTTGTGGGTTCTCATCCAGACTTCCCCTAAATTGTATTTGTGTTCTTGGACAAATGACTTCTTTTTATTGGGTCTTTCCTTCCACTTCTAAAATGAAAATAACAACAACTAACTCTGCAATAATTTAGAACTTAAATGTCCCCCCAAATCCCATGTATTAAAGGCATGACTTTGATTCAGTCTGTGGCTGTAGCGGAAGGTGGTGAAACCTTTAAAATGTATCACCTAAACAGAAACACTAAATCTGCTGGAAGAGAGAATAGAATGCTGAGGACATAGGAGTAGACCAAGCCTTCATGAACAAAACTCAGACCATGTGGGAAATACTACAAAGACTCAACAGTTGGGACCTCATCCTATTAAGCTTTTGCACAACAAAAGAAATCACCAACAGAGTGAAAAAACAACCCACAGAGTGGGAAAAATTTTAGCCAGCAGTTCTTCAGACAAAGGAATAGTATCTAGAACATAATAAAGAATTAAAAAAATCAGTCCACCCAAATTTAAAGACCCAATTCAAAAATGGGCACCTGAGATGAATACACATTTC